CCTGCCCCAGGACACACCTGCCCCGGGACACACCTGCCCCAGGACACACCTGTCCCGGGACACACCTGCCCTCGGCCTGGAGAAGTTATGCTGGGGTCAGCCGGCCACTTGGTGCTTCCTGCCTCAGGGACTGGACTTGGAGCTTGGCCTGTCCTGTCTCCCCCGGGTCAGGGTGCTGCTCAGGAGAGGGACTGTCCTGACAAAGGCCCATCCTCGCTGAGAGGGGAGCTGGGGCGGCCGCAGGAGGTCCCCAAGGCCCAGTTGTGGAGATACACCTCCGCCTCCGTCTCCTACCTCCCGCCAGGGGAGAGTTAACGAGAGCTGTTTTCCTGCAGAAGTCACACTGCCCGGGCTGTGGGCTCCCTGACGATGACCCCCGTCCTTCTCTGGGCACCGGCGCTGCTCTCTCCTCGGCCCCCTCCCCCGTGCCCGGCTGTTTCCCGAGGGGCATTTAGTGACGTGGAAGCCGGTGGGACATGGTCCGACATCCACAGCCCCGGGTGCTGGAGTGATGATAACTGGAAACCCAGTGCCCGCGGGGCCTGAGCGTCAGTGTGGGCTCTCCTGGGTGAGCCCATGAGCCCAGCTCGCCCTCCGCCCATTAACGCGACGCCTCTCTCCTCCCAGGAAAGGCCGGGTGCTGAGTTCTGTGAATGAAAAAACATGCATCCTCCTTGTTTCAGGTTGTCCTGGTGCCAAAAAGAATGAGTTTCTAACGAGCGTTCTGGACGCGCTGTCCACCGACATGGTCCACGCCGTCTCCGACCCGTCCTCCCCCGGCAGGTACGTCTCCCGTGACACGGAGCCGGGTGCTGGGAGGGAGCCCGTAACCGGAGGAAACTGACCCGCTAGCCAAGTCCAGCCCTGGCTCTGAGAGCCGGCCGCTCACCTGGGAGCCGCAGGGCAGGCACGAGCAGGGGCCTCCCGCCCCCTGAACCGAACAGGAAGGGGCTTCGAGGGGTTGGAGGTGACTCTTTTAGTGTCTTTGTCATGTGATTAGGCCACTGAGGAGGTTGTCCTGTTGGGGAGCGGCCAGACCCGCGGGATTTTCCGTGATCCCCTCGGGCGGTGGGCGGGAGACGGGAGGAGGGAGAGGGAGGGACAGGTCTAGTTTAGCAGCTTTATGCTTTGGAGTTGCATTTCACAGCAGTGGACTGAATGTCAAATACTGTGTGTGAAAACGTGCACTTTAAGGTCCTCAAAATATTATGGATTCATTGTGGGAACCACATACATCATGCACAATGTACCATCTGAGCTGTTTTCAAGCGCACGATTCCGTGGTTCGCTCCCTGACACAGTGTGAACCCTGACTGTGGAGCTGTATGCATTCTCTCCGTGCCCGGGAGGCACCCCAGGCTCCTCGCGTCTTGAAGGTCCTGCCTCCTCCCCCTCCTTCTCATCCTCCTCCTTCTCCTCCTCCTCCTCCGGCCCCAACAGCCAGTGTGAGGGTGGCTCCCAGTGCCTCCTGGGTGTGGCCTTTCAAGCCTCAGATCCCCCTGGAAATCTGCAGTAACCTCTTCATTTTAAGGGACATTCTTTTTAAATATATTTTTATTTTTATTGATTTCAGAGAAGAAGGGAGAGGGAGAGGGAGAGAGAGAAACATCAATGAGCAGAGAGAATGAAACCAGGACTCTTCAGTCCAATGCTCTATCCGGGCAGGGCCGCACCAGGCAGGGCCGCACCAGGCAGGGCCTCACCAGGCAGGGCCGCACCGGGCAGGATCACACCGGGCAGGGCCACAAGGCGTCTTTAACATCTGGGACCGTGTCCAGCCCTGACCCAAGTCCAGGCCTCCCAGAGGAGCTGCGCGTAGTCACATCTTCAAATACAGAATCTTTAATTCAAGGGGGAACATCCAGTTACCACTTTAAGTTACGTTTTGGTTTGCACCTTTCATTGTCCCTGTGACGTAGCTGATATGACAATGAGCCACATCGAACGGCGGAGGGACCTCGGGTCCCAGGGTTTGCAGCGGGTCCTTCACTTGTGGCCTGACCTGCCACGTCCACGGAGCACAGAACCGGGGACAGGGCGCTCTGTCCTCCAGGACTTGGCCAACGCCGGGTGCATAGTTGGCACGCACACATTCAGTGTCATTTGCAATTTCGAAACCAACTTGAAAAATTTTTGCTAAATCCCTTTCTCTAAATTATTATTATTATTTTTTAGAGAGAGAGGAAGGGAGAGGGAGAGAGAGAGAGAAACATAGATCAGAGAGAAACATCAATGGGCTGCCTCCTGCACGCCCCCTACTCGTGATCGAGCCTGCAACCTGGGCCTGTGCTGTGACTGGGAATCGAACTGGCAACCTTTTGGTGCACGGGATGATGCCCACCCAACTGAGCCCGCGGTCCAGGGCTCCCTAAATTATTTTTAAATCCAAGTCCCATCGAGCGGCACTTCCAGGCGGGCTCGGCTTCAGCGCCTGGCTGGCACAGGGAAGGGGTGAGGGCGGAGGTAGGCACGGCGCGCACCCTGACCTCCCTCCCCTGTGCTCCTCCAGGCTCTCCGAGCCCGACCCCAGCCACACGCTGGAGGAGCGAGTGGTCCACTGGTACTTCAAGCTGCTGGACAAGAACTCCAGCGGGGACGTCGGCAAGAAGGAGCTGAAGCCCTTCAGGAGGTTCCTGCGGAAGAAGTCCAAGCCCAGGAAGTGTGTGAAGAAATTCGTGGAGTACTGTGACGGGAACAACGACAAGGCCCTCTCCCTGCCCGAGCTGATGGGCTGCCTGGGCGTGACCAAGGAGGAGCGCAAGGCCGGCAGCAGGAAGCGGCACAGTAAGCCCACCGCCCCCCACCCACCGGCGGGCAGAGCAGGGACACACCCTCGGAACCGTAGGGCCCAGGGGAGGAGGGGCCTGAGGGCAAGTTCATCGTCCCTCTGTGGCGGCCGACGGTCCCAAGGTGTGGGCCGCGATGTGTGGGGTCAGATCTCAGAACCATTCGCCAGAACGGGGGAGCCCTGCAGGGGTGCCTCCTGACACCCCGAGGGGCCGGCAGGGTGGGAGTGCCAACCCTGATTGGGTGCAAGCGGAGGACAGCAGGGTCACTCACGAGAAACGTCAGTCCCTGCGGGGTCCCCAGGGCCCGGGGCTGAGCTGCCGTGTCCGAGTTTTACTCTCTTGTTGGGAACGGAGAGGACCCGCTAGGACCCTCTGCGCCCAAACAAGCTGAAGTGGGTATTTTGTCGAAAAGGAGCATCGGGCCCTGGGATGCATCGTTTGTTGCTTCTGGAACCCGTGTATGTTCCCTGCAGCATTTTTCTGTCTTTTTCCAACTTTATTTTCTTTGAGTTTGATGATCAGGTATTTTTCCCACCCGGTGCAACTTGAATCTGAGAAAAGTCAGAAAAACCTAAATGTTCAGGGGAGGGCTACTTGGGATTTCCTAAATATCCAAACTGTTACCGATCTCTTTCGTTCCCTTTACTACGTAAGAATGCGGTTTTTATTCTAAAAACATGAGGCATCAAATGAAGAACATCAACAACATGTGAACTATTTCTTCTCAGACATCAGCCCTGGATCCATACTCCTCACCAGACACGTCTATGCTGACTCGTCTCCGCAAAAGGGCTCCACACATACACTTCCTAATCACATGTATTTTTTTTGTTCGTTTATTTAATTCTCACCCAGGGATATATTTTCCCCAGTGATTTTCAGAGAGATCTATTTCCCTGTCTTACTTGTTCTGTGTTGTTGTTAATCCTCACCATATCCATTGATTTTTAGAGAAGTGGAAGGGAGAGGGAGAGACACAGAGAGAAACATTGATGTGAGAGAGACACATTGATTGGTTGCCTCCCGCACGATGGGATCAAACCTACAACCCAGGTCTGGGCCTTGACTGGGAATCGAACCCAGACTCTTCGGTGTGTGGGCAGACGCTCCAGCCCCTGAACCAGGCCGGCGAGGGCTCTCTAATCAGAGCCTTCTAATCACACGCGTTTTAAGCAACGACACAAGATTTTGCGTTTCAATTACTGCCACAGAGACAAATTATTGGAGAGTTTGATTTAATCTTTCACTATGACAAAAAACGCAAAAGTGAAAAAAATTACAAACTATTAGGAAATGAGACCGCCAAATAAGAACATATTTCTGAGGAATTCGGGGGAAAAGTCACAAAAGATTACATCATGCCCTTGTGATTCCCCAAAGTGACCATTACAGAGAAACGCAGCACTTAGGAATTATCCAGTTTAGACCAAATTGTCTTTTTCCACCAAATTGCCATGATCGCTGCATGGCTTTCAGGCAAGCTGCCTCGCGGGGTGTCGCCGCCAGGTCACCTGGAAGCGATCAGGGTCATTCGATCCCGATGACATCAGCTCT